CATCTATATTATATGCTTGAAATTGAACAATAGGTGTATTGTTAAACATACCTGAATTCTTGACCACCGTCAATCCATTCTTGGAAATGGTTACTCCATTTTTGTCAAATTTGATCGACATTCCTGCCTCTTGTAGGCGCTTCACAGACATCAAGTTTCCAGCAGCCTGCTCGGAAAACAGCACATCCTCCAGCGTTATTTCGTGGTCATTTCGCAAACGCACAATGCCACGCTTAGATGCGTAAATATATTCGCCTTGCTTGGCCACAGCGATCTTCAGCGGCGGCACCAATTCCACACTATCGATGTACAGCGACTCATCATTTATCAGATGATCACTTGCACCGGAATCAAGAATAAATCCACAATTATCTACCGCGGGGTTTTCTTGCACTTCTTTTACCATGAATGCAATGCCTTGTGATGTTGCGGTTTTAGCTTGTTTATCCTAATTTTAATTATCTTTATTTCTTTCATTTAGAATTCTTTTATATTGGTAGCAATCCTTTTTAATGTGTCCCTCCTTGTCACAGTAGTGACATCTAACCCTATTTTTAAAATTTCCCTTAAATGTTTTCTTTTGTTTAGTTACACGATTTTTAAATGAATTGTTTTTATTATTGTAGTTTTTATTTTGAACAATCGTGTTTAAAGCTTTCCTACTAGTGTCATTATGATCATTTTTATACCCGTTACTCGTAGAGTAAAAGGGTATACTAGATTCGTCGGAAAGTATGTAACAGGCAGAAGGAAGCGTTTCCGACCCCACAAAGTATATATATTCTTGATCAGGATCACTAGCCGAGTCGATCTAGCCATGTCCGTCTGTCCGTCTGTCCGTCTGTCCGTCTGTCTGTCCGTCCGGATGAACGCTGAGATCTCGGAAACTATGGGAGCTAGGCTATTGAGATTTGGCGTGCAGATTCCTGAGCTTCTTACGCAGCGCAAGTTTGTTTCAGCACAGTGCCACGCCCACTCTAACGCCCACAAGCCGCCCAAAACTGTGGCTCCTACAGTTTTGATGCTAGATAGAAAATTTTAACTGAAATGTATTGTTCTCATCAATACCTATCGATTGACCCAAAAAAAAGTTTGCCACGCCCACTTTAACGCCCACAAACCGCGAAAACCTGTGACGCCCACAATTTTCATGCTAGATAAAAAATTTTAACTGAAATGTATTGGTCTCGTCGATACCTATCGATTGATCCAAAAAAAAAATTTGCCACGCCCACTCTAACGCCCATAACGCTTAAATCTGTATACCTCCGGTAGGTGGCGCATTTTAATCTCGCTTTGCTGCTTGCATATCTCCATATAGCTGAGTAACGGGTATCTGATAGTCGAGGTACTCGACTATAGCGTTCTTCCTTGTTAATTTTAATTTCCTGGTCTAGCAATCTATTCTTAACAAATGCTAATGTTAAATTATCCTCTGATAATGTCTCTATTGCTGTAATGACACCATCGTAAGCCGAAGGCAATGTAATCAACAAATGAGACACTTTATCCATCTCTTCTATTTTTGCACCTGCGGCCAACAACTTACTTATAAATTCATCAAAAATAGTAAAGTGGGACACTAGGGACATTTCACTTGATAGCTTAAGAGAAAGCAAGCGTTTGCGAACTGCCAACTGCGATGCCAGACTTTTTCGTTCATATACAGCGTCCAAATTTCCAAGAATTTGACGCGCAGTTATATCGCTTGTAGCAAAGTTCAAAAACGAATCGCTTAGGTACTCTATTAACGTACTTTTAGCACAACGCTCTGCCTTCTTCCACTGTTCATCCACTTTCTCAGGTATATCTTCATCAATGACCCTAAGTACATCCAGTTCGGTCAACAGAGCCCTAATTCTAAATTTCCAAATTGAGTACTTCTCGCCATCGAATGGCTTTATATTACGTTTTGCCCTGTCCACTTTACTGTATTTACGTATGCTGTTGTACAAGTGTAGCTATAGACACGCGGAACTCAACTCAATGTAACTTCACAAGAAATCTCAATTTCACAAGAACTCTCAATTTCACAAGAACTAGAAATTTCTAAGAAATTGAAATTAGACTCTTGTATATAAACTGTTTCACAAATCAATTGTTCTTCTAGGCATGGACTGGGCCCATAACCTTTGGTTATTGTTGTTTTATGTTCCCAATAATTACGCAGAAAGAACTATGTTTTATGTTTTATGTTTTATTCACCGCAACACCAGCACCACAACTTAACTCAAGAAGATGTCACAAGAAAAGAGAAAGAAGAACGATCAGTGTGACCAAAGGCTACGCTTTCATTAATGCCTAAAATATATAATAGTAAAATGGTATTTCTGTTTAGGAATAGGGGTATTCCAACACATTTTGTGTTGGATATGTTGATGGCAGTGATCTTCCCCTGGTAATACTCCAGGAAGCAAAGATATTCTATAAAAATGCAAGCTGGTTGCGATCATTCGAAGCTCATTAGACACTTGGAGGTTGGATGGCCAGGCAGTGACCATGACAGCCGCATTTTTCAAAACTGACCACTCTTTACATAGATCTCCGGAGACAGGGCCTATACACTTTCTGAGCAAGTTATAATCCCCTTTCGTGCCAATTTAACTGACCTTACTTGTACTGCCCGGAATGAATTTAATAGAACTCTTAGAAGATACAGAGTACGCATAGAGCAGTGCTTCGGCTTGAAAGAACTAAAGATTATTGCAAAGAATGCTAAAAGTTTATCGGTGGCTTGCGACTGGGTTTTTGTTTGCGCTGTCCTCGATAATAAAATTATTTATCTAATTTTTTTTTATGTTTAATTATTTTTAATGTACTCCAGCTTTAGTTTTTCTTTTTTCCAGCTGTAGCTTTTTTATTTCATTTTCGCCGTCCATTTGCTGCTGCGAAAAGGCAAGTTCCTCTTCGAATTTGAACTTCTCCCAGTCTAACTTCCCCTTATCCATTCTATTTGTCTTTCCTGCATTTCGGCAAACTTCCCTTTCTTCCATTTTAACTTCTCTTTCTCTATTTCCAATCGTGTCTATTGCATCATTTGAATTTCTGAGACTTCAGCAGTCAACGACTTAGTTTTGCTTTTAGCCATTGTTGCCTTTCGCGAAAGATCCTCTGACGAGGATCTTTTGGGGACTGGCTCATCCTCAGTATCGGTCCCAAAGGTGCTACTCATATCAATCGAGTTGTTGCTCAACCTCGGCAACGACTTGGTAGTCGCTTTCGAAAGAGTATAGAACTTTTGGAGTCCCCACACTTTTACGTTTTCCGAAGATGTCGTGCAACCTTTCGAAATGGTTGCGCCACTCGATCGCTTCTATGAATTGCGACTTGTAGTAATTAATTTTATTTTTGAATGACTGCGCACCAGCATTACGAAACGGTGTATATTCTTCAATAACCTTTTGGTAGAGCTTCTTAGCAGTCGGTTTCTACGAGAATATAAAATTATTAACTTATATCAATTAGTTATGATTTTTACTAACTTCAAGCTTCTCTGGGCAATTCTTTACCCTTTCCCAAACCATTTCCACAAAGATTGCGCTTCACGGAAAAATCAAAAATGTCCTTAAAATAAATCAAATTAGTTATAAAAATTAAATTTTTAAAATTTGTTTGTCATATCCCGTTTCCTCTATGTTTACAAGTGACTTTTAGTCGAGAACAGCGAAAACTCTGGTTTCTTAGCAGTTCAACAAAATTTTCAACAGCCCCGAGGCTGTTATATCAATTGGTTTTTCTATTAAATGTATTATATTTTAAACTAACCTTATATACAAGATCGCATTTAATGTTTTTAGGCTCATGGCGTTGCGTAGTTTGCTCTTCACAACATTCATCTGCGAGAATATTCGCTCGACTTCCTGCTCCCCGGTCTTCGTCGACTTTCTGAGACACGGCAACTTATTATTTTGAGTAACTGCGCCCATCGCAACCACATGCTTTTTAGAGGCGGCGTGGGCACATCATAAATTTTTGCGCTTATTATTGATTTGCAGTATGCGAAATAGGCTCTTTGTGGATTTGGACAATCCCTGCGAGTCCAGTCTTTAAGTTCTTCATCCTGCAGTAGGGCATCACGGAGACTTTGCTTATACTGTACTTTGAATCTTTAACACACCACTTTAATACTTTAACAAACCAAGCACACCGCAAAAAATGTATATTGTGACCAAACAATATCAAATAGTTTACATACGCGAACCACTCAGTTAAATACCAGTTTCGATTGGAATTACCTCAGTCAATGCAAAATGTGTAAATAGAAGAAAGTCTCTATATAGATTCGTACTCTATGCACTTACAGCATGAGACTTTGCCAATGGTGCCACCTAGGCGAAAAGAGATAATTTCCCTAGTTTTTAAAATGTTCTGTGTATATAGAGCAGTGGTCGGCACACACATACCATCACAAGTTTGCCTTGCATTAGTGTGAGTGTAACAAACACGAAGTTTGCGCGCGGCGTGCCGAAGCGAGACGTTTCTCTGCTTTGCACTGAGATCCTCTGCCGCAGCAACAAAAAAGCGCGCCGAAGTTTAGAACAAATGACCCGAAGACTTATGCCGAAGTCACACGAACATGTACGTTATACGTGAGCGAGCAGAGGATAGGCAGAACACTTCCCTATGCTCACTAGATAGGCCGCTGCCGACCACTGATATAGAGTCACCATTTGCTCTGCCCGAACCTCTGCCCAACCTTTCCTGAGAGCCAATTCAAGGTCAAGTCTTCGATTTTTCAACACACCCAACAAGTGCGAAGCAACAGCCATAGTGGTTTTTTTTTGCAAAGAATTAATTGACAACTGATTATAATCTGACTTTTTATTTTTGTTATTTTTTCCTAAGTTTCATGCTGAAATATGCTCTGTTTTTTATTCATAGTTGTAGATATTAGTCACCTTAACCATAATATAAAAGAAAAAATTAAATAGGTCCTATTCTTGTTAATAAAAATACAACTTTAAAATGAATTTTAATGACATTTTTCCTTTTGCAAAGAATTATTTGACAAACTGTAGATTCTTTCTCTATTCTGACAGCAGTCGTCACACTCACATCGATAACCTGCCTCGTGGAAATTACTCAGAAAAATAAGTCCAAATGTCATTGTATTCCGTGGCTACCGCTGATAAAAATACATCTGCAAAAATATTATCACCGAGCGCTTAATAAGGACTGATTTTGTATGAAAAGTGGTGATGATTTGCACAAATGCATTACCTTTTAGGCGCCTTTTTAAGCACTAAAAATGCGCTTTGGCGCCGTTGCGTTTGGCTCTACGTCGCAGTCGACTGCATGCTTATTTTGTACCTGTATTGAGTTGTGGAACTGCGAGGACAGCTGTCTGCAAGCTTTTGCCACGGCGATCGTATCACTGAGTAAACCCACTTTTCGCATTAAGCAATATATAATTTTGAAAATACACGACCTTTTTTATTAATCTGGTATCATTTTCTGTCATGTTTTCTTGCCATGTTGAAATAAAAATAAATTTTAGATTTCAATTTTCACACATCTTTTAATTTAAAAATCGGACAAGAAAACGGGGCTAACTGTTTTGATTGCATACATTAGGCCAAAACAGTTTCCAGTAAATGAATGAAATCATTAAGTTTTTCATTATTCATTTCAAAGACCAGTCTATTTTGCAACTTTAAGTTACTGAAACTGAAGTTTAAGGTAGTTATTTGTTTAATGTTTCCAACAAAGTTGCTATCTCCAAATATAAAGCTTGTATCCCATTCGAAAGATTCTATGATACTCTCAGTTTTGGAGTAATATTGCTCAAGATGTTTTTTAATTTCCGACTGACGTGCTGCCAGTACACTAGGTACAAGGCCGCTCATTTCAGGATTGAAGCAAGAAAATGGTGTAAAAGTAAATTTAGCCAAACTCAAATCTTTGTAGTAATTTGAGATCCTTTGGGTCACCAACAGGAAATCATGGGCATTTTGAAATCCAAATTTGTGTGACGAACGAAGAGTTTGTTGTTTATTAATATTTCCAATCAGGTAATCTATAGCCAAATGAAGAACCTTTTAAGAAATATTTTACATCTGACAAATAAATTTTTGTTTCGTCTGCATACCTCAATAAATATTTCTTTATTATCGATACATTTCAACTCATCCATCTTTTTATTTTGATGTTAATATTAAGTGGCAAAATAATGTTAATACTTAACCAGTATCTCGTCAATTTGGCTGTTTCCCATCAAAACCCAAATCATCCATCACATTACCTACAAAAAATTCCATTTTTGTAACGAATGCTAAGTTCGTTAAGATGTCGACGGTTGGTTAGCAAGGAAAATGGAACAATGGAATTGGTTGGAATATTATTTTTGAATATCTTCTTAGGCCTGATCAGACAGCGGCATATCGATATTGTCGCATCAGCTCTAATTTTCTAGTAGAGCAGAAATTCCAGTTTTATGAATTATATATATTTCTTACTCTTTGAAATGATGAAACCGATTCTCAAAAGGTTCAATTGGTAAATTCGCAGTTCACAATTATGTTAGTTGACTATTTACAGTTTCCTTACTCAGCAGCGCAGCCTGACAAATGATTTTGCAAGGCGGTCCAATACATTTAAAATAAATAAGTTAAAAAAACAAAAAATAAAACACCGCAACATAAATTATAAAAAAGGATACAAATTAATAAATAATTTTCTTTAGAAATCTATTTTTATCCCTTTTTATCAAAAATATTCTATGATATGTCACACATATAATCATCAATTTAATTGATATGCAAGTTATCCAACCCGTGAAACGGTTCCACTTATGGAATTTATAAACAAATTTTTGAATTCAATCTCAGCTATGTTACCCTTGCCTTTAGCGACATTGCCTTTGCCTTTGTTTAAGATTCTGCCTTTGCCTTTGCCATTCACTTCGAGGGCCGCGCTTGACCGTCCTGCTAAGATAAATAAACCAATCGTAAAGTAAACACAAGCTTCCGTTCGAAGCCCAAACTTTTCCGTTCAAAGCCCACAGTATTGCGTTCTAAGTTCAGAACATATTGCGTTCCGATTTTCAAACAAACTGCATCGGTCAGCATAATTTCATTTCACAACGAGATGCGACAGTTTCAGCATAAGCTTTTATTTTAAACAAAAATTAAAGTTCTGGAAGCTTAAGAAAAGAAAAGCTTCTGGCCGAGGTTCATTGGATAATTTTTTAGAATTAAGAGTCAGTCCTATTCTATCCGAGACCGCGATCGGTTCACAATTTTTAAAAAGTGTCTTGTATAAATTGAGTTTAAGAATAAAGGTTTATCACCGGAGTTTAAAAAATAAAAAAATAAATTTTTTTAAATCATCAACTAACGACAAATTTAATTTGCATGCAAATAAATTGCATATATCCCCTTCTACAAATTTACTTTTAAGGTCTCATCATGCCTTACGGTCATTAAAGTAATGTGCTCAACTTTTACTTGTATTTTACATGTACCTAGAGAAGACTTTTAACGAATTATTAAAACACTAACTTCCATTGCACATCCAGGGAAATGAAAATATGTATTTGTTAATATGACATTGTATGCTGTTAACGCTTTTCGTCGGGTCTGTTTTTCAGGGCGGTACTCAGATAAGTTAAGCCTAGTACTCAGAAGGCTAAGAGTTTCACTAGTCGAAAAATCTTATTCTTTGTAGTGTGACCGGCGTTTTCAAAGTTCACCCGCAATGCATGTGGCATGGTCTTACTGTCAAGCAGCTGGGCTTGTTGCCAAACGGAAAACAAATTAATTGGAGCAATTTAAAGAAGAAAAGTCTGCTGGTGCACAAAGAAATTAAAATATAAATAAATAAAATGTTCAACGAATGTTTTTATTTATGTAAATTGGAATTTTAAGGCTTCCTTATCGTCCCACGGATGCTTTGCTATTTTTCAATAATGGCCAATAATGGCTGGTGATGGCTCCTCCAGCTGTCCCTTAGCGGGTGACCATATTTTCTCCTCCCTACAGAAGCCGGCGCGTCCTGCATCTCCGCTTTAGCTGTTAAGTATATGGTGGAGGTGGAATCCTTAATGGAGAGCTCGTCGGAGATCGAACGATGTCCCATGTTCCTTCGCACTGGGATTGTTTAATGGGTCTCTCCCAGCCCTTTTACTATTCTGCGGAATTTGGTTGCGTTGTACTAATAGAAGTATCTTGTTGGAATTTGCATGTTCAAATATACAAAAGTCACATGGATAATTGTGCAATTCATGTTTGCATGAATGTATGTGTACGAGAGGTAGACGCACATTTCGATGTCTTGGTTTCCTGGGAAACCGCTCAGGGAAACGGGACCATCGTGCTTCTTCTTCCTATCTTCTCGTTGTTCTTTTTCTCTCTCGATATTCTCGTTCACTTCGAATCTAAGTTTGCATTATTATTTGTTCATTGGGAGTTGTCTGTTTAATCCTTAATTGTATTACACCTATTCATTAACAAAACCATAGGTTATGGGCCCAGACACAGTTGCAGTGAATAAATAATAGTGCTTTAATCGTTACAATTTAAAGTGCATAAAAGTGAACTTGATCTTTCTAGAACACACTTTTGCGAATTCGCCGAAAAATCTTTCCTGAACACACTCATACAAACGCTTAAACAAATTTGCCGCAAATCTCCACGTTGCGACGGGACAGTGTTGCCAGACAGTGCTGCTGCTGAAAGACATTGTTGCTGGGCAGTGTTGAGCGACGTTAATGCTGGCCGCTGTTGCTAAACATTCCTGTAAAACGTTGTTGTTGTGAAAATTATTGCTGTAGAGGGTTGCTGTTTCGTGTTGCTGTGCAGAGTTGCCAGGTAGTTGTTGCGGTGCTGTTTTGATAAGGAACCCATTCAATGGATAAAGGGAAAAGAAATATCAAACCGTTTGACGGTGAAAAATATTCAATATGGAAGTTCAGTGTGAGAGCGCTGTTAGAAGAGCACGACCTTTTGAGGGTCATAGATAAAACTCATGCAGAAGTGACCGACGAGTTTAAAAAGGCAGAACGAAATGCTAAAAGTTTAACAATTGAATATTTAAGTGATGCGCTCTTATCTTACGCTAACAGTGAAAGCACTGCTAAGCAGTTTTTTGCAAATTTAGGTGCAATTTACGAGAGAAGAAGCTTGGCATCGCAACTATCTCTGAGAAAGAAACTTTTAGCCATGAAATTAAAAGGTGACACTTTACTCCTCAATCATTTTAATTTCCTCGATGATCTCATTACTGAACTTATCGCGTCAGGAGCAAAGTTAGATGATATGGATAAAATTTCCCATTTCTATAACCGCAATATAGACTCTATCTAAAAGTAACTTAACATTAGCTTTTGTAAAAACACGACTTCTTGACCAAGAGATTAAGCTTAGGAATATAAGTAAGGATACGAGTGTTAAAGTCTTGCAAGCAGTTAATAAAAAGGAGTTAAAAGATATAAAATTTAAAAATAATCCAATGCAGAAGTTCAAGAAGAATCAGTTTAAGCCAAGTTTCAAACCGAAACCACAATGATTTCATTGCGGTAAGCCAGGTAATTCAAAGAAAGATTGTTTCCTTTTTAAAATGCAGCCAGATCAGAACTTTACTGAAAATAAAAGAAAAGATGGTTAGGCTCAGATGGGAGCAGCAGCAACAGCCCAAGCAGAACGTAGTTTTGCCTTCATGTTGAGAAATGCAACTTCCAATTCAAAGTCAAGCGAGGCTGAGTTTATCCTAGACTCAGGAGCATCGGACCACCATATAAATGACACAGCATTGTTCTCCGAATATGAGCGTTTGCAATCAAATGTGGCCATCGAGATTGCCAAGCGCGGAAAGTTTATCTACGCTACAGCCAAAGGAGTGGTCAATCTTAACAGCTGCGGAAACCAAATCACCTTGCAAAACGTTTTGTATTGTAAGGATATTCCACACAGCCTAATATCGGTAAAGAAGATGCAGGATGCAGGCATGACCATCGAATTTAACCTTGAAGGTGTAAAAGTATCTAAAAATGGTAAATTTGCCCTTAATGGAATATGTGAGTACAATGTGAAATTTTATTTCAAATGAACAGTAAAATATTTGCGTCTAATATTTCTAATAGTGCTGAGTATCGATTATGGCATGAAAGATTAGGCCACATAAGTGTAGGAAAATTTTTAGAAATAAAACGAAATAGTCTTTTTGAAGATACTAATATATTAAACAATATTGATTTAAACCATGAATTATGCGAGGCTTGTATAAATGGCAAGCAAGCTAGATTAAAGTTTCAAAAATTTAAAAATAAAGAAAATATTACACGACCATTGTTTGTTGTCCACTCCGATGTCTGTGGTCCAATAACAGCCTCTACCATTGATAATAAGAACTACTATGTAGTTTTTATTGATCAGTATACACATTGCTGTGTGACCTACGGCCGTCCATATACCACGTGGACATAAATTATAAAAAAGGATACAAATTAATAAATAATTTTCTTTAGAAATCTATTTTTATCCCTTTTTATCAAAAATATTCTATGATATGTCACACATATAATCATCAATTTAATTGATATGCAAGTTATCCAACCCGTGAAACGGTTCCACTTATGGAATTTATAAACAAATTTTTGAATTCAATCTCAGTTATGTTACCCTTGCCTTTAGCGACATTGCCTTTGCCTTTGTTTAAGATTCTGCCTTTGCCTTTGCCATTCACTTCGAGGGCCGCGCTTGACCGTCCTGCTAAGATAAATAAACCAATCGTAAAGTAAACACAAGCTTCCGTTCGAAGCCCAAACTTTTCCGTTCAAATGAACAGTAAAATATTTGCGTCTAATATTTCTAATAGTGCTGAGTATCGATTATGGCATGAAAGATTAGGCCACATAAGTGTAGGAAAATTTTTAGAAATAAAACGAAATAGTCTTTTTGAAGATACTAATATATTAAACAATATTGATTTAAACCATGAATTATGCGAGGCTTGTATAAATGGCAAGCAAGCTAGATTAAAGTTTCAAAAATTTAAAAATAAAGAAAATATTACACGACCATTGTTTGTTGTCCACTCCGATGTCTGTGGTCCAATAACAGCCTCTACCATTGATAATAAGAACTACTATGTAGTTTTTATTGATCAGTATACACATTGCTGTGTGACCTACGGCCGTCCATATACCACGTGGACAAACTTTAAGCACTCTTTGAAACCTTCCCACCCCCCCTCGTGGACAATCACCCTCTTTTTGTCCACGTGGACTTTTTTATTG